GGGGGGGCAAATATGTTAACTTCAAGCAGCATTTTCTAAAGAGTCATAAGGTCAAGAGCCATAATGCTTGGATGTGATATGTAGACAAGCAGTGAAAATGTGTTTATAAGATATTGTGCTTAGGTCTAAGTTGGTTTTAAGTTCTAGCTGGGTAGCCGGGGTTGAAGTATAACATGGATTTCCATGGTTAAAAAGCTTTAAGAATCTGAATTCTAGTGTCCATCAGTGATTCCTGGGACTGAGTGTTATGAAGTTTCTTCAAATAGCTGATCATGATCTTTTATGGTCACTGGGATCCTTTGGTCATAATTTAGCATATATGCTGTTGATTTGTATGAGGAAATAAATACAACCATGCTACCAAAATTAGCCCGGGGGAAGGCCCCACCCCTTGAGACTTACTTCCATTGTCATGACATGGAAAAGATTGAGATTCCTACCCAATTACAATGTCTACTTATATATGAATCACAAATTTACCATAAGCATCCAGTTACTGTGATTAAAAAGGGAAATATTTATTAAAATACTAATTACTTTAATGAGAATATCATTACTGATAGCCTAAATGTCCAGGTGAGAAATACAAGTTCTATGGCTTCATTTACTCAAGGGTAAATTACATTTAACAAGTGGTTAGGGATAACTTAAAATATCAATACAACAAAATCGAGCAGTTTCATATCATTTCACTGCTATAGATTGGTAGAACAGATCAAATTAATGTGGTTTAAGGGTTTATTTTTCTTTGAAAGCTCTTGTTAGTGACAGAATTTCCATTTTTTCACTAACCACTAGTTGAAGTTAAAAATCCTTTAAACAACTGGGGCCAAAGAAAAGTAGAACCCATTCATTATGATATCGGTTATTATGATATTTTTCCCATGTACCTATTTTTTCCTTCTTTAACTAAGCAAAACAAATCGGTTATTATGATATGGTCAAAGGAAGGACTCCGCTTATTAATTTTTAGGTCGCCTGAGCTTTGCTTTTTACATTTTCAACTTCTTCTCAAGAACCAGTGGATGTATTTTTTTCAAACTTGGTCAGAATCATCCTTGGTAGATGTGGCTACAAAATTGTAAAATTGGAATTCCTACCCCAGCCCCTGGGGCCAGGGCGGGGCCCCAAAGGGAAAATTTACCAATATTTCAAAAATCTTCTTCTCCAGACTCAGAGGTACTACAGTCATTTTCTCTGCATGGAAAGAAAGATCATCAGGGGCTTTACTTAAATTGTAAATTTCAGGACCCCCGAGCTATTCATTCTCCCTTGGAGAGGGGGTAAAAGTTACTATACTTTATATAGGGAAATAACACTTTTGGGGATATTTTGACAACTTTCTGCAGGAAATTATTTTTACTTGGTGAGAACTATCCTTGGAGGAAGATGGTTTCAAATTGTAAAATTGAGATTCCTACCCCAACCCCTGGGGCCAGGGCGGGGCGGGGCCCCAAAGGGAAAATTTACCAATATTTCAAAAATTTTCTTCACCAGACTCAGAGGTACTACAGTCATTTTCTCTGCATGGAAAGAAAGATCATCAGGGGCTTTACTGCAATTGTAAATTTCAGGACCCCCGAGCTATTCATTCTTCCTTGGAGAGGGGGTAAAGTTTACTATAGTTTATATAGGGAAATAACACTTTTGGGTATATTTTGACAACTTTCTGTAGGAAATTATTTTTACTTGGTGAGAATTATCCTTGGAGGAAGTTGGTTTCAAATTGTAAAATTGAAATTCCTACCCCAACCCTAGGGGCCAAGGCGGGGCTAACTGAACATCGCCCAAGGTGATGACCTGTCAACTCCAGGAAAAAGCAGTTTGGACTAACATGCTGTTTAGCTCACCTGCCCGAAGGGCAAGTGAACTTATGCGATGGCCCGTCGTCTGTCCGTCTGTCCTGCGTCAGAAAAAGGGATTCCAGACTCTAGCCCCACTGACTGACTTTGGGTAAATATTATCTCACTTTGACGGGATATTATGTTGCTTTTGGTTCTGCATATGTCGTCTTCTCAGCAAATGAATACAAGAACAACCAGTTTTGATTCTAAATGTTTTATATAACAATGGCAACAAAGGTATAACAAATAAATGTAAACGAGTGAATGAGTTTATATAAACGGGTTGAAGTGAGATTTCTCATACAAGGTGAAAATTACTTCTAAAGGTATAAAATTATAAAATAATAAATGAAGTACAATGTAGATGGTATAACAAACAAAAATAACAACAGTATGACAATTACATAAAGTTTATATAAACATAGCTTTGTGAAATATATCTTCTCAAAATATACCTTGTATTGTGTAGGAAAAATAGATATAAATTACATGAACCAGTATATAAAGATGATACCCTAATTGGGGAAAAAATTGCATCAAATGTTGACAGACATTATCATGAAACAGTACTTAAATTATGAAATATGACAAATTGTGGAAACAGACCTTGTTAGATATGTTTTATAACAAGAAGTAAAATATAAATGATTTAAGATTATCAAAATGTAGAGAATAACTAATTGTCCGAGGAAATCTCAGATTAAAATAACTATTCATTAAAACATTTCTGAAAATTCAAAACATTCTCAAACATGAAATTAATTCGAAATATTATTACTATGATTTAAAATATAATAGCTTAAATAATATTTGATTTTAGCTTTGAAACTTTGTTAATTTTGTACAAATATTTCAATATTTTCAATATTCATGTGTATTAAAAATTAAAGTCTGAATCATCTGTATATAGTAATTTGAAACATCTCAAAGAAGGTTGTAAGTTTAGGAGATGAAGAAAAACATTTGAAAAAATTTGGTAAATAACTTTGTTAATTATCTACAGATCAATTTTGCCTATATCTTAATAATGAATAAATTCATGTATGCTTATTTAAATTTCATTTTTAAAAATCTAATATGTAAAAGAGTTTGAAATGTGTATGAACTAAAATTTATAAATATAATGGAATGTTGGCAATAAATATTTAAGAATAAGAAAAGTAATTGATATATTAAATTGGAAAAGGATCAACATAAATTTACAAGAGATGCAGAATATCTGAATGTTACAGAAAAGTATTTTTTTTGTTAAAACTAAAAAATTTGGAAAAGATTAAATAAAAATTCAAACTTAAACATACACTGCATAAGTTGTCCAGGGCTCCCTGAAACATATACTTGTTTGAGAGTATCCCTGGCCTTGACGTTTGCACCTTAAACACGAACTTGTTTAAGGCATTCACGTACCTGAGTTATACATTGCATATATCAAATTTGATAAAACTGAAATATCAAAATAAAATTATGTTTACATGCATATGACAATCCCACAGTTAATTTTTATCTGCTTCAAATGTTTTATTTTTCTAAAATCCAAGAACGTATTTCTTTACATTTCCTGATAAGTACTAGTCTAAATATTCCTTTCTTTATTATATATCTTTTTTTAAAATCAGTTTCATGTTTTTGTTTTTTTCAGAAATACAAGGACATCCTAGAAATTCTCTTATCACAGAAATAACTTGTGTATGTAAAAAAAAATCAAAAACAATAAACAATACTAAGTAATTAGATCACTCATGATCAGCAAAGATGCATTATATCAGCTCAAATGATATATTCATATTGCACAATATCTAGATCAACAGTTATATGAGATGTCTGTTTCACTGTTTATAATTATTTTGTTGCTCAATTCGTTCACTTTCCAAAGCAGGAGAGGAATCTCCTCTTTCTCTTCTTCTTCTTGTTGCTTCCCTGTGGCTTCACTGGTTTATCTACACGGACAACCACTGATGGGACCTCTACAGCATCTTCACCGAAGTCAACAACAATCTCAGGAATGATGTCCTTCAGATCAACCATCTCGACAGAGTTGTCTAACCTTGTTTTCTTGGTCTGTTTTGTAATATAAAATACAAAATTAATTTTAAAAATTTTCATTTGATAATGGAGGATAATACTCACCAATAAATGCAGACTCATCCCAGTTGTCAACCATGTAAATATTTAACATAACAGTATGACTCATCCCAGTTGTCAACCATGTTAATATTTAACATAACACTACGACTCATCCCAGTTGTCAACAAAGTAAATATTCTACATAACAGTACGAATCATCCCAGTTGTCAACCATGTAAATATTTAACATAACGGTACGACTCATCCCAGTTGTCAACAAAATAAATATTTAACATAACAGTACAACTCATCCCAGTTGTCAACCATGTAAATATTTAACATAACAGTACGACTCATCCCAGTTGTTAACAAAGTAAATATTCTACATAACAGTACGAATCATACCAGTTGTCAACCATGTAAATATTTAACATAACAGTACGACTCATCCCAGTTGTCAACAAAGTAAATATTTAACATAACAGTATGAATCATCCCAGTTGTCAACCATGTAAATATTTAACATAACAGTACGACTCATCCCAGTTGTCAACAATGTGAATATTTAACATAACAGTATGACTCATTCCAGTTGTATGACTCATCCCAGTTGCCAACAAAGT